TTGCTCCCAACTGCACTCCCCTGCTGCCCTGGTTTCCCCAACTGCCCTCCCCTGCTGGCATGATCTCACCACCGACTGCCTTCCCCTGACAACCTGATTGCCCCTAACTGCCTCTGCCTTGGCCCCCACCACCATAGTATTTTTTGGAAGGAAGTCTGACATCCAGAAGATGGATGGTCAACTGGTCTAATTAGCATATTACCCTTTTATTAATATAGATGAATGGAACAAGAAGAGGATGCCTTAAAAACTCAAAGAAGAGATAGATATGGAAAGGCAAAGAGGAGAGATCAAAGTGCAATTTTCAAAATTTTTTAAATCATAATTCTTATAAAAAACAGAGAAATCAGGTGCCATAATTTTAATTAACTCATAAGTGAGAAAAAAAAAGCAGATAACAAAATTAGCTCAAAAACAATTAAAAAAAAAAAAACAAGTCTAAAATAAGACTTCTAAGTTAATTTTCTAAAGGTCAGAAAAAGTATAATAAAGTTTTATTTATCTAAGTCAGATTATTTTCAGATAATGTAGTAGCATGATATTTAAAAGACAGGGAATTTGTTTTTGCCTCATTTCCATGTTTTAGGCACTTTTTCTCAACAAAGCCTTTTTTGAGTAATATTGCACCTGATGACTGAAGAGGGAGTAGAAGTTGTACACTAAGAATGGTAAAGGGAAAGGCAACAGTGTTCCAGAAGTAGACACAGTGCATAGACCCACTTCACTTCAATCATCCACTGCCAGTGTCAGACCTTGAGCTTCATCCACTTAAAACTATGATGGGGTATCATCTTACACATGTTAATGGCTACTATCAATACATCAACAAATAACAAATGTAGGCCATGAGGTGAAGAAAAGGGAACCCTAGTGCACTGTTGATGGAAATACAGATTGATATGGCCACTGTGAAAAACATTAAGGAATTTCCTCAAAAAAAATTAAAAATGGAACTGCCTTTTGATCCAATGATTCTCCTTCTGGATATATATCCTAAGAATCTCAAATACCAATCAGAAAGAATATATGTAACCCTGTGTTCATAGCAGCCTTATTTACAATAGACAAGATCAGTATTCATCAGTAGGTAAGTGGATAAAAAAGCTGTGGGACATTTACACAATGGAACACTACATAGCTATAAAAGCAAAGGAACTCCTACAGTTTGTGACAGCATGGAGGGACCTGGTCATTATTATTCTAAGTAAAATAAGCCAGTATTTTATTAACATATGGAATCTAATAAACAAAAATAAACTGACAAATAAAATAGGGCTAGAGGCATGGACACATGTAACTGATCTCATAGGGGGAAAGGGAGAGAGGGACTGTAAGAGATTAATACAATAATATATATGTATATATGCATAGCCCATGGACATAGACAATCATATGCTGAAAGCTGGGGTGGGGCAGTGGCTAGGTGGAGGGGAGCAAAGGGAAATAAAATGGTTGAAATTATAATACTATCAACAATTTTTTAAAAAGAAGAAATTGAATCAATAATTAATAGCCTTCCTAAACAAGAATTACCCAGGGGTCCTCAAACTTTTTAAAGTGGGGGCCAGATCACGGTCCCTCAGAGAGCTGGAGGGCCGGACTATATGAACTACTAATTCCTACTGTAACACCTCGGCTGCGCTCACTGCCCAAAAAACCTGGCGGGCTGGATCAGACTCCTCTGCGGGCCGCATGTGGCCCGTGGGCCGTAGTTTGAAGACGCCTGCTCTAAGCAGACACAGACCTTCACTATTTATTCTGACCAGCAGCCAGCTGTGCTCATTCAGGTTTACAATGACAAGTGCACCATAACCAAGGATAATAATCTACTTGGAAAATTTGAACTCATAGACATAGTTCATACTCATAGACATATGAGCTCTGTGATGTTCCTCTGATGGAAGTCACCAATGGCACCTTCAAAGTCTTTGCTGGGGATAAAAGTACAGGAAAAGAAAATAAGGTTATCATCACTAACCATAAGAACCATTAAAGCAAGGAAGACAATACGGAGACAAAGTAACTGATCACAAACAAAGGAAATGGAAAAATATAAACAACTGGATATAGAACTCAAAATCATGGTTATAAGGTTTCTCAAGAATTTCCTAGAAAAGGCCAATAAATTTAGTGAGACCCTTGAGGATATGAAAAAGGATCAACTCAAAATTAAACATACACTGACTGAAATAAAAAATAGTATACAGAGACGCAACAGCAGAATAGAGAAATGCAATAATCAAGTCAAAGATTTAGAATACCAAGAAGCAAAACACAGTCCTCTGGAAAAGCAAATAGAATACAAAAAGTTGAAGTTAAATAGTGTAAGAAGTCTCTGGGACAACTTCAAGCATACCGACATCAGAATTACGGGGGTGCCAGAAGAAGAGAAAGAGCAAAATACTGAAAAACTATTTGAAGAAATAATGATTGAAAAGGGAAGAGACTGAACATAAACTGTGCATCTATGGATGAGGACAATGGGGGGTAGGGAAGGGTCAGAGGGTGGGGTGGGAACCTGGTGGAGGGGGGAAGAAATGAGGAACCTTTGTAATAATATGAACAATAAAGATTGATTTAAAAAAAAAAAAAAGTCCCTCACCTGGTGAAAGAATTAGACCTATAAGTCCAGGAAGTGCGCAGAACCCTGAACAAAAGGAATCCAAAGAGGACCACACCAAGACACATCATAATTAAAATGCCAAGAGTAAAAGACAAAGAGAGGATATTAAAAGCAGCAAGAGAAAAACAGTTACCTACAAGGGAGCACCCATACGATTATCAGCTGATTTCTCAACAGAAACTATGCAGGCCAGAAGGTAGTGGCAAGAAATATTCAAAATGATGAATAGCAAGAACCTACAACCAAGACTACTCTACCCAGCAAAGTTATCATTCAGAATGGAAGGTCAGATAAAGAGCTTCATAGTTAAGAAAAACCTAATGGAGTGCATCACCACCAAACCAGTATTATATGAAATGCTGTAAGGTATTCTTTAAGAAGAGGAAGAATAAAAAAGTAAAGATAAAAATTATGAACAACAAATACATATCTATCAACAAGTGAACCCCAAAATCAAGTGAATTAAAAATGTGAGGAACAGAATAAACTGGTGAATATAATAGAATCAGGGGCATAGAAAGGGAGTGGACTGATAATTCTCAGGGGGCAAGGGGTTTGGGGTGCAGGAAGAGACTGGACAAAAATTGTACACCTATGGATGAGGACAGTGCGGGGGACATAAGGGCAGAGAGTGGGGTGGGAAACAGGTGGAGGGGAGCTATGGGCAGGGGGAGAGGAGGAGAAACTATTGTATAATCTGAACAAAAAAGATTAAATTAAAAAAAAATACATGGTGCAAGAAGCTGAGAAGTACAAAGCTAAAGAGGAGAAGCAGTGGGAGAAGGTATCGTCCAATAAATCACTTAAATTATTGGCAATCAACATAAAAGCATAACTGCTGATGATGAAAAACTTCAAGTTAAGCTCAATGATGAGGATAAGTAAATGATTCTTGATAAATGTAATGAAATCATCAATTAAATTCATAAGAATCAGACTGCAGAGAAGGAACAATTTGATCAGCAGAAAGAGCTGGAGAAAGTCTGCAACCCTATGATTCCCAAGCTGTTCCAGAGTGCAGGAGATAAGCTAGGGGGAATGCCTGGGGCTTCCCTAGCAATGAGGTTCCTCCATCTAATGGTTCCTTCTCCTGGACCCACCAATGAGGAAGTAGATCACAGAAACCTGATCCACTTCTTGGTTTTTGTTTCATACAAAACATTGAAAGACCCAAATTTGCAACAAATTCCATGGCAGTTTTAAGAAATGAGTTGCCATAATAAGTAACTGGCAATCTCTATACTTGCATATAGAGCATGTGCACAGGGACAGGAAATAACCCTGCACTTTCTAGGCACTGCAGTGAATGAATAAAACACAAGGTATTAAATTAAACTGTATTTGAAATTGTCACAAAAACACACACACACAACAAAACTTCACCTCATTATAAACTGCAAAATTTTACTACATTTAAATATAGATTAGTTCTAAGGATTTAGGACGAAACTATGGAGGTATGTTTCCCTGGGCCTGAATAGTATTAATTATGAGAACTTTGTACTGAGGACAGATTACAAGTGACACTGCTGTCTTCACTTTTGTTAATAAATGCATTTTGTAAGTAGTTATGATGTGTTAGCCCTCCAAAATGTGAGACCCAAGCAAGGACCCATCTTTCCCACATGTTGTAGGTATTATTATTAAACCCATTATCAGATGAGAAAACTGGGGCATTAGTGTATCAGTCAGCATAAAATATAGGAAAGAGAAATATCTCTAGAGAGTTCAAGCAGAACAGGATTTAATTCACAAATTATTTGTTTACAAATTGATTGGGAGGCCTAGAACATGGAGATAGAAACCTATTTTCTCCATTAACACAGAAAAGGAGAAATTATACACAGATGAAATTGGGCTTTGTTTGCAGGGAGATAAGTATAGATATAAAGATTTTTTTAATTTCTTTATTGATTAAGGTATCACATATTTGTCCTCAACCCCCCATTCTAATCCCCCACTCCCCCTTGATATAAAGATTTGATTGCTTCTTTGGGTCAGTGAAAATGAGGCAGCTGAGAAGACTAGCAGTGAGGTATGGGGTTTGAGAAGAAATAAAACGTATGAAAGTAGATTTGGAACATGTTCAAGGTAGCTGGTGTGAGTGCCAATATTTCAAATTTAGTTGCTGATATTAATCATTAATTTACAGGTAATCAATTTTCTTAGTTTTATGCTCTTCATTTAAACTTGAGGATGTTAACCATTAATTTATAGGCCCAAAATCTTCTTAGTTATATGCTCTTTATGTTCATGAAATTTACCAAGATACATAACTGGTGATCAGTTTCGTACACTAAAGCGGAGACATAGAAAGCCCTCGTAATACTGGCTTGTGAAATGTAGTGCTTTATTCCACTCTATGACAAACACACAGTCCCAGTCCAAGTCCAAAGTCAAAAGTTCATCAAAGAAGTACCTCCTTTTCATGAATTTCCTCCCCTTTCAATACCTCTCCACATCCTTTCTCTAACCCATACCACCTCCAGCTCCCAGCCCTGAGCTCCTGAGAGAAATGTCTCTAACCAGAGCTGCCACAGATCCTTGGAGACCCAGCCCCACAGCAGAGGCAAAGGTAAGTCTGGAGCCCCTGCCTATGGAGAGGGTCAGCCTCAAATTTTAAGGAGGAGGCAGTTTGAAGAAAGGAACAAGTTAGTGTTCTGTGAAAGTTCTACATAGAGGAGGTGTGGATGGAGAGAGCTGTGCTTCTTCACAGGAAAGTAGAATGGAAGAGGACAGAAGGAGGGAAGGGGAGTAGAACTGTAGAGGTTAGGGTGTAGGGTCAAATAATTATGGCAACTAAAAGGCTTGGGGGGCCTGTTTGCCAGGATTCTGAAGTCTCTTCCTAGGTATTTGCATGCAATTATTTATCTGTGATGCCTAGATCAGTGGTTTTCAAAATACAGTATATAAACACCTGAAGGTGTAAAAAGACTGCAAGATAAGATGCTCAGTTAGGAGTGGTGTGAACCAGCTGAATGTTTGTACCCTTAAACCCCATATGGGCTCTTCAAAAATGATTGGAGAGGCTTATTTTCTATTCCATCTCTCAAAGTTGTATTTCTTTTACTTTAAAAAGCAAGAGAGGTTGGGGGGGGGGGCAGGGTAAGAGATCAAGAGAAGGTCTTGTATGCATGCATATAAGCACAACCAACAGATGCAAGACCCTGTGAGGGTGGGGGCAGGGTAAGGGCAAGTGCAGGGCGGGGGGAGGGGAGGTCAATGGGGGAGGGGGGGAGGATACATATGTACTACTATTTATAATACCTTAAACAATAAAAATATTTTAAAGCAAGGGATAGCCTTTCCCTCCTCTTTTCCTTCCCTTTTTCTCTTTTGCTTTCTTTTCCTTCCCTGAACAACCCAATCTTAAACTGTTTGGATAAGGCAAAGTCAACATTTATTCTGGCAGTGCAGTGAGGACAGGATGTACTGGAAAAAGGGGAACTGAGGTGGCCAGACCCCAAGGGGTCAGAGCCCAAGCAGTGTCAGGTTGCCCTTCACGAGGTGGCCTGACACGGGGGAGGTGACAGTCCATGGGGGTAGGAAGCTCTCCAATGAGCGTCAGAGCCAGAGCACAGTGAGGAATGGGTAGGACATGCCAGAACCCAGACAAGGTAAGGAGGGGTCCATGCAGAGGGAATGCCCAGCAGAGTGCTGGAGAGGGTTGAGGGGGGCATTGATATAGGAGAAAGCATATAAACAGAGGTGAGAAATTGGCCTCACACACAGGGGTTGATCAAAAATATAAATATACCAGTGCATGAAATTCATGCATTGGGGGGCTGGGGGGGTAGAGGAGACTAGCAGTGAGGTATGGGGTTTGAGAAGAAATAAAATGTATGAAAGTAGATGTGGAACATGTTCAAGGAAACTGGTGTGAGGGCCAATGTTTCAAATTTCGTTGCTGATATTAATCATTAACTTACAGGTAATCAATTTTCTTAGTTTTATGCTCTTCATTTAAACTTGAGGATGTTAACCATTAATTTATAGGCCCAAAATCTTCTTAGTTATATGCTCTTTATGTTCATGAAATTTACCAAGATACATAACTGGTGATCAGTTTCATACTCCAAAGTGGAGACATAGAAAGCCCTCGTAATATTGGTTTGTGAAATGTAGTGCTTTATTCCACTCTATGCCAAACACAACGTCCCAGTCCAAGTCCAAAGTCAAAAGTTCATCAAAGAAGTACCTCCTTTTCATGAATTTCCTCCCCTTTCAATACCTCTGCACATCCTTTCTCTAACCCATACCATCCCAGCTCCCAGCCCTGAGCTCCTGAGAGAAATGTCTCTAACCAGAGCTACCACAGCCCAGCCTATATCCTCTCCAATTTGGGACCCCTCAAGGGATGTCCGACTGCCCGTTTAAGGGATTGGGCCTACATGGGTAGTCAGACATCCCTCTCACAATCCATGAATGCTGAATCCCAACCCCTTGCCTGCTGGCTTACTTGATTGCCCCTGACCACTTCTGCCTGTCAACCTGATCATCCAGTAACCACTTTCTGCCAGCCTGATCTATGCCTAACTACTCCCCTGCTGGTCTGATTGCCCTTAATTGCCCTTCCCTGATACCCTGGTCACCCCAATTGCCCTCCCCTATGGGCCTGGTCACCCCACAGAGCCCTATCCTGCAGGCCTGGTTCCCCCAACTGCCCTTTCCTGAAGGCCTGGTTCCTCCCAACAGTCCTCCCCTTCAGACCTGGTCCCTCCCAACTGTCCTCCCCTGCCAGTCCAGTCACCCCTAACTGCCCTCCCTTACCAGGTCTGGTTGCCCCTAACTGCCCTCCCCTGTAGGCCTGGATGCCTTCAACTGCCATCCTCTGCTGGCCTGGTCACCCCTAACTGCCCTCCCCTTCAGGCCTGAACATCCCAAACTGCCCTCCCTTATAGGCCTGATACCTCTCAACTACCCCCCCCCCCCCTTGCTGGCTTGATCACCCACAACTGCCCTCCCCTGCTGGCCATCTTGTGTGTTGGGGTGACAGTCAATTTGCATATTACTCTTTTATTATATAGGATTAATGATCAAAAGCCAGGATTCTCACCTTCAGAGGAAAAAGTTACAAATACTAAAGGGTGTGTGGACCTAAAATAAAATCACTGCTGGGATTTCAGTGTAGCCTGAGGAAGTAGCCATGGTGGACCAAGTGAAGTCTCTGAAGAAATTTACCAAGAACATCAGACTGATCCAGCATAGTATGATTGACAGCTGGTAAAGTACTCAAAACACCTGCTCTTAGAAAGTAAGGCCCCAGAACTAGAGCTGGGGTACTGCCACTTCAGAGTTGCCTGAGAGGACCCCTAACAGCCACATGATCCTCCAGGCCCCCCTGAGATGCCATAGAACAGTAAGTCTCACTCCTGCTTTCCTTTTCTCAAAACCATTTCCTTTGTTTCCACCATAAATACATCATGTGTGGTGTGACAGAAGTACAAGGGAATTATTGGAAAAGTTGTATTGGGCACTTTAATTTTGTAGTGAGTTTCTATAAATAAATTTTGTTCAAGACTTAGCTCTATGAAGAGCTTGGTACTAACAGCCCAGAACTCTTTGCTAAGACCATCCCCACTTTTCTCTATCAGGTCTCTCAACACATTCTTAGTTCTCTACATTGTTTCCATAGTGTCTCCTCCCTGCCATTGGTGGGAAGCAGGCTCTGTCCTGGTTGGGGGGGGGGGGATTAGGGGGAAGGGGGACACGATAACTTTCTCTTGCCCACATAAGATAGTTGCCACAAAATTTCATCCCTAACTTGTCATGTCCTACACTTTCAAGAGATTGGGAAACAGGACTCCACTTAGTTGAAGGTACCATGTACAGCACAGATACCAGTAGGACTTCATGCTCCATCTTTAAACATGTCTTTATACCAATTTTCCCAACAGTTGCACCCTATAGATGGCTTTGCAAGATGAGCAGCAAATAGGAAGAGCAACTTCTGTCAACCTCTGCTTGGTGATAATAACTACACACTCTGCTTGACTGCCTGCCTAGGTGTAGTCTTCAGCCAACTGCACTGAATACTGCCCTTCAGGAAAAGGATCCCATAGAGCAACAGGAAGAGTTCAAAATGCAGGTGCAAAAGGAGCCCATATGTGACTCTACCTGGAGTGGATGGGAGGAACAAAGAGGCCAGGAACAGGATCCTGGTGGTGCTTAAGGCAGCAGCCCTCAAATTCTGTCTTCACTGACATCAGATTTTTTTGTGTGTGTCAATTTGTAGCTGATACATGCAAATTAACTGCAAAGTGGTTAACTTATTGTATGTACATACAACAAAAATTCCTTATTTTGAGACATTGTATGAAAAAAAATCAATTGGATTTTAAATCCATTACATGTGTGAACAAAGAAGAGAAAGAGCCCTAAACTTTTAAAATACAATGGAAAAGAATGAGAATGCTCTGGCCTGTTTGGCTCATTGGTTGTATGTCATCCTGTGCTTTGGCAAATTGCTAGTTCGATTCCAGGTCGGGGCACATGCCCAGGCTGTGGACTAGATCCACATTAGGGGACATACAGGAGGCAGACAACCAATGTTTCTCTCTCACATGGATGCTTCCTTTTTTCTCTGGCTCTATCTAAAAAATCAATAAAAAATCTTTTTTAAAAAAATAAAAGAATTGAAATGAAAAGGTTTTAAAATTTGTATTATTTACTTGTGAACTAAAATAACTCACCAATGGTGACTACAAAGAAATTTAAGTCATAATTAATCATTATAATGGAACATTATAATTATCTGTACTTATTATAGTATACAATCAGAACTCAAAAACCTGTATTTGTTCAAAATAATGAATATTTTTCAAAATGTGTTAATGTGGCTAACACACATTTGAAATTAGCCATACTACTCTCAAGATAGCACATATCTTGGTAGCTATCCTGCAATCCAATTCTCACTTTGCTTACTCCTACCTCCATGTAATCTTCCTTACTTCCCCTCCTTAGTTTCAAATGCATGATAGAAGCTGAAAAACTGTTATTCTACAGGAGTATTTTACATCATTTTCCACAGCATGCTTCATTAGTTTGGCTCAGATAAATTCAGATAAAAACATTTTAAAGTTATATTAATTAAATAAAATTTAAAATTATAAAAATTTTAGATTTTTAGGAATATTCTTCATAAATTTATATTTAACATATTTTTAAAAATATGTCTTTATTGATTTCTTTCAGAGAAAGAGGAAAGAACAGAGAGAGAGATGGAAATATCCAAGAGAAACATTGATTGGCTGCCTCCTGCATGCCCCCACTAGGGATCAAGCCTGCAAGCCAGGCACATACCCTGAGCAGGAATCAAACTAGTGACCTTTCAATGCATGGGATGATGCCCAATCAACTGAGCCATACCAAGTGGGCACATAGTATTTCTTAATAAATTCTACTTTATTATTCTTATATTGATATAATATAGAGAAAATAATTTTTCCCATGAAGGCCATATAGCCTAATCCCATTCCAGTTTATTATAGGGGAGCCAACCAATAACATCATTTTCTCTATTATATCAAAAAGGTTGAGAAGTGCTGCCTAGTCCACGGAGATGTAATATATGCTCCATCTCTGTGGTGCTTCCATGGTCCTTAAGACCCTGTACAATTATGTACCACATACTTCTACTACCTCAGGATCCATTCCCTCATATATTACATCCACCTAAAGAGAATATGGCCTCTGGAAAGCCTTCCCCTCCCTTCTTTGGGCCAGCCTTCCTACAGACTCCCTGAGCAGCAAGATCTATGAGTCCTGGGCCCTCAGCAACAAACTTCACAGCCATGGACACCAAATTCTAAGTTTCTGTGGTTGATGAGATATGTTACAGCCCCTTCCCCATTATTACTACTAATTTCCAAGTTCTAGAAGGGGACGTTAGAAGTCTGCCTTGGCCAGGCAAAGAAGGTAGTAGTGTGGGAATTAATAGAAGCCACCTGTTCATTTATGTTGGTCCAAGACAGAGGAATATCTTAGCTCTTGGTCCCTCTAGAAGCAAGGTCCTGCCCCTGGGTCACATTATATATAGACAATGTACATTTTGGCATGAGTCATCAGTATATAGAAGGTACCTAGAGCCATGAGTACCCTGTAAATTCCTAAAAATCAAAGTCACAAAACTTGTAGAAAAAGGAGCATGCATCGAACTCTGCCCCTCACCTTATTCCCATAGATAAGATGCCCCTTACCTGTCCAAGATATTCCTGCATTCCTTCCTTTTTCTGACCCTTGACCTAAGTCTCAGAGTTTTCTTTTTATTTCTCTCCTCATCACAGTGTTTTCCTCCATTTCCAATAAGTCATGAGCACAAAGCCTTGAGATCACCCTGCCGCAGTAACCTGAGGAGACAGCGAATCTCTACAATTTATCATGGCAGCCTCATCTCACTCTACCTCGGCTTCCAAATGGGTATAGGTATGAATTCTTCTGAGTTTCTGATTCTCTGTTATCTAAGGGGATGGAAAGAAAAAGGGAGGGAAGATGGAAGCAAAAGTTTGACAAAAACACAAATGCTATGAGATCCTGGAAAAGTAAAGAAGATAACTTTATTCCACTTATTAAGTTCCAGGAAGTGTATTAGGTATTTGCATCCCTATCTCCTGGTCAAGGCCTGTTGATATGTGTATGTGTGTGTGTGTACACCTAAGTGCATGTGATGTGGTGGAATAAAAATAGAGAGAATGGAAGTGCCCATATGGTAATAAAGAAGCATAAGTTCCTAGAGCCTCAAGACAATGTAGAATAAGATTGACAAAAATTAGCTTGTATGCCCCCATTTTCTCATCCCGTACTCATGGCAAATATTATTAATGATTTCCAAATATCTTTTCCAGTGAACTGCTTTAGATTCTTTCTCAACAGATATCCTACTATCCATCCAAAGCTATCAGAGTTCCTGTGGATTTTCCCCTCCTATGGACAAGGACAGAACCTGACCTAAAGGTGTTAGCATGTCTATCCCCCTCCTCTGCAGTTATATTCTTCAGGTCCCTCCCCACAGGTTGAGTTAAGTGAGGAGGCTAGGGCCCAAATTTTAAGAGGCTCTTTCTATCAGGATCTTGTTGACTCTGGACATGTGCCCCTCAAGTAAGTGCCTAGTCAACATTTATGCCCTAAGTCTTTTGCATGCCTCAGCATAACCAAGCCTGGACTTTCTATGTCTAACACCTCCAGCTACCTGCTAGCTCTGTGTGTATGTTCAGGTCGGAAAAGGGATGCCCCAAGACTCAGCAACTATCTCCTTTCAGACCTTCTCCCCAGTTGGTTAAGATGGTAATAGCCAAACATGTGTGTAGTCAACTATTTCATTTGCCCAAATCCTGCCCCCAGCCCACCCTGATTCTATCTCTGTTCTCTTTTCAGGAGCATTCCAAGTCCAAGGGCCCCATGAACCTTTGGTGGCCATGCTGGGTGGTGAAGCTGAGCTGCCCTGCTTCCTCTTGCCTCCTCAAAATGTTAAAAATATGGAAATAAACTGGAACAGATCCCTACCTTCCCATGTGGTGCACCTGTATGAGGATGGGAGGGACAAGCCTGAAGAAGCTATGGCGGAGTATTTGGGGAGGACAGAGCTTGTGAAAAATGTCATGCATAAGGGGATAGTGGTCCTGAGAATCCTCACTGTCCAACCCTCTGACAGTGGGCAGTATTGCTGTGCATTCAAAAATGGCTCCTTCTACAGTGATGCAGTGATTGAGCTGAAAGTGGCAGGTAATGGCCCACATTTATTGCCCTATCACCCCACAGGGGTGAGTTTATTCTAGGCTGTGCTCCTTCTTCTGATCCAATTTCCCTGGGAAATATAATGAAGTCATAGGAGGAAAGGAGATGGCAACCACTTCTACTCACCCCATTACCCCATATATCACTGTTTGGGGCTAAACCAAAGATAATAGAGATTCATAGTGGAAGATAAGAAATAGGGGCCATTTGTTTTGGATTGTGTTCTACTCTCTCTCACCCAGGAGTCTAAGTCCCATCCTTTGTTGCAAAAACTTCTTCAGAGCCTCAGTTTCCTGTTCTGTATGTACACTGAGTTCTAGTCAGCAGCAAAAACTCTTCATAAGAAGGGGAGGGATATAATTTCGGGAAAATGAGCTTAGGATCTGACTTCTCTCTCTTCCTCTTCCCAGCTCTCGGCTCACATCCTCAGTTCCATGTGGAACTCACTGAGTCCAGACAAATGCAAGTGGTGTGCAAGTCAGAGGGCTGGTTCCCTCAGCCAAAGGTCCAATGGATGGACTCTGAGGGAAGAGAAATTCCAGCTGAGTCTGAGACTCACACACAGGACAAAAGTGGCTTGTTCCATGTAACAGCATCACTGCTCCTCAGTGAATCTTCTCAGAAGAATCTGATATGTTCTGTCTGGAACCCTGTTCTGAATCAGAAAAAGGAAGAACAATTGTCCATAGCAGGTCAGTTTTCTCTCTCCCCTCACTGCTTACATCCATGGTGGCGGCAACTCTCAGCATATAAGCCTAGTTCTGCTCTCTACATCACACCCACACCAATCTTGCTGCCAGAACCCAACTTCCCTCCTCTTTTTTCTAACTTCTCCCATCCTTTCCTGAGTAATTTTCCAGTCTTAACCTTTTAACCTTGCAGTGGAACAGGGCCTTCTTATCTTAGTCCATTCAGGCTGGTATAACAAAATGTCACAGACTAGATAGCTTATACACAACAAAAATTTATTTCTCACAGTTCTGGAGGCTGCAATTTCCTGATGAAGGTGTCCACATAGTCAGGTTCTGGTAAAAGTCCTCTTTTGGGTTGCAAAAAGCCAACTTCTTCCGGTGACCTCACATGGTAGAAAGTTCTAGGGAGCTCAAGGAGGGTATGGAGTGGTCTCTTTTTTAAGGGCTCTAATCTCATTCATGAACTCGGGACCACAAATTGATCATTTGGGATTTCAATATATGATTGTTGAGGAGACAGAAACATTCAAACCAGAGCTCTCTTCACCAGGAACCATTTTCATACTTTCTCCTTCCTAGTTCTCCAACAGGCCCATTTCTCCTGGTTCGCATTTTACAATGTTTCTCCTCAGCCTTTTTTATGTTCTCTTCTCCCTCTACCTATATAAAGTATTGCAAAAATGCTATGACCATAAACATGCAGTTATGGTTTTAAGATATACACACATACACACACACACACACACACACACGCACATACTAGATGCCTGATGCATGAAATTTGTGCACAGCAGAGGGGGTCCCCTCAGCTCAGACTGCACCTTCTTTAATCCAGGACCCCTCAGGTGATGTTGTTATGGGATTGGGCCTGAACCAGCAGTCTTATATCCCTCTCACAATTCTGGACCGCTGGCTCCTAATGGCTCACCTGCCTGCCTGCTTAGTTGCCCCTAACTGCCTTCCCTGCCAGCCTGGTTGCCCCAAACTGCCCTCCCACATACTGCTGGCCATGTCACCCCCAACTGCCCCCTCCCGCTGGCCTGATCACTCCTAACCGCCCCCCACCGCTGACCTGATCACCCCTTACTGTCCCTCCTGTGAACCTCGTCACCCCCCAACTGCCCCTCATGCCAGCCAAGTTGCCCCTCACTGCCCCTCCTGCCAGCCTAATTGCCCCCAACTTCCCCCTCTGCTGACCTGGTCACCGCCACCTGCACCCCACCCACCGGCCTGGACACCCCTAACTGTCCCCACCCCCCACAAGCCTGGTCACCTCTTACTGCCTGCCCCTGCTGGCCTGTTCACCCCCCATCACCTTAGATTACTTCAAGTCCAAGGTGACAGTTCATCTAATACACTAGCATTTCAGCTCTATAAATGCCATATTTCCACCATTATGTATTCTTCCATGCACTTATCCTACAAATATTTATTGAGCAACTTTGTGGGCCAACACAATGTTTAACACTGAGAAGGCCATAATGGCTAAGACCTAGTCTATACTTATCAATTATACACTCTAGTAGGAAGAAAAGGCTGTGCAAATGAACAAACTTTTAGGGCTGGACAATACCTGCCTTATTCACTGTGGTATCACTAACACTAACACTATCACTGCATGTGGCAACTATGAGGAATTCAATACATATTATTTGAACGAATTAAACTCAGTTATAATACAACATATGGAACAAGCAGAGGATGCCATGAAAACTCAAAGAGATAGGTTATGGAAAGGGGTAGAGAATAGTTCAAAGTGCAACTTCAAAAATATTAAAAACATAATTCTCATAAAAATACATAGAAATCAGAGGCCATAATTTTAATTAATTCATAAGTGAGAAAAAGAGTAGATAACATAATTGATTCAAAATTAATTACAAATTCAATCCTACAATAAGACTGCTAAGTTCATGGGACAGTTACAGGTTAATAAAACCATAAAAAACCTTTATTTTCCTAAGTCAGATGATCATTAAATTTATTAGATAATGTTTTAGCGTATTATTAAAAAGACATGGAATTTGTTTTTGCCTTATTTCCGTATTCTAGTCACTTTTTCTAACAAAAGCTTTTTTAAAATATATTTTATTGATTTTTTACAGAGAGGAAGGGAGAGGGATAGAGAATTAGAAATATCACTGAGAGAGAAACATTGATCAGCTGCCTCTTGAACACACTTCCTACTGGGGATGTGCCCACAACCAAGGTACAGGCCCTTGACTAGACGCAAACCTGGGACCCTTCAGTCCCCAGGCTGACGCTCTATCTACTGAGCTAAACCTGTCAGGGCAAAAGCTTTTTTGAGGTAATTTTGCACCTGCTGACAAAATAGTGAATAGAAGTTGTCCAGTAGGGATGGTAAAGGGAAAGGTGACAAGTGCTCCAGGAATGGGGACAGTGCACAGACCCACTTCACTTCAGTCGCCCACTGCCAGTGTCACACGCGGTCTTGACCCAAAAATGAACATGTTTCAGTTCTAAAACTTTAAATCCCAATGTCTCACTTTTTGAAAACAACTTCTAATTCTTTAAACTTTATATTTTACCTCTTTTTATACAGACTTTTCAGCCTCATAGAAACCTCTGGTCCCTTGATTCTTTCATGCTATCCCAGGCTACCAGCTCCAGCCTCATCTAAACCCTATGTACTACTTCCCTTATTTACTATTTTGTCAATTTTCTGTTGTATTGCTACTCTCCCATGGAAGAAATGACTTTATTTGCTTATTTATTTTCTGAACAAGTAACCTAAGATAATATTTCAATGGAGGCTTGAACTTACTAATTAACCATAATTTGGAAGGGAAATGGAAATAAAGGGAGGAATAACAACATATTACTGTTAGAGGGAACACAATTGGGGAATGACTAAGAAGTGAATGTGGGAACAACTCTATTGAGAAAGTGACTGTGAGACATCTGTATTTCAGTTGCTGAGCCCATCAGAACAACAATCAATAGAAGAGTGGGTATAGTTTTGGCAGCATTTCTGATACTCCTGACTTCCATCAGACTTTATTTGAAAATCCCGCTCAAAAACAGGTAAATGTATTCTTTTTTCCCCCAATATACAAATATCTCTTCTCATAGATATCTGTCCTTCCCTTTCTGCTTAGGAACAATATCAAAATCAGCAAAGTTCTATTCAGAGGAAGTCACAACAATGAGACTCTGATACCTCAACGATAAAATATGGAAAATAAACTTTATAAAATTTCTGTGTGGATTGAAAGAAATGCTATACATTAAGCATTCTTGCTTGTATTAACACAAGAACATTCAACAAAAGTCTATCCTTATTATTAATAATGTTAAAGGAGGCCGAAGCCGGTTTGGCTCAGTGGATAGAGCGTCGGCCTGCGAACTGAGAGGTCCCAGGTTCGATTCCGGTCAAGGACATGTACCTTGGTTGCTGGCACATCCCCAGTGGGGACTGTGCAGGAGGCAGTTAATCAATGATTCTCTATCATCGATGTTTCTGACTCACTCTCTCTCTCTCTCTCTCTCTCCCTCTCTCTCTCTCTCTCTCTCTCTCTTCCTCTCTATAAAATATCAATAAAATATATATATTTTTAAAAATAATAATAATGTTAAAGAAGAAGGATGAAGAAAGGGATGAAAGATGATGAAAGGACAAATATTCATGATACATTCAATATACATGAGGCATATGAAGCACTCATTTATGAAGACTTAAATTGACCACCCAATGGTACTACTCATTTTGATATCATACATATTTTGTCTAAGAAATATGGGTAAAACTTATAGTTACTCAGTAGGCCAAGAAAGAGCTACAACTACGCTGAGTATACTTGTCCTGTATGTATGTGCATTGGCCCTAGATAACTCAATACAGTGCCCCTCTGTTCAAGATTCTTTAGTCTTCAAAACCACACAATCAGCAAATAGAATTGATGAAAAACAGGACATATGAATACAGCTCAACACAGGATTTGCATGGTATTCTTGCAAACTCTCCTAAGTGTGTTGATCTAAATCATCTCTTTCTCTTGGCTTCTTGCTGTACTTTAAATTGATTCAATAGACTCTGTATTTTGAACTTTTTAACTTGGCAATTGTTTAAAACATTTTCCTATTACTTTTTTAATTTGTAAGGAGCTATAGTAATGTCCTCTCATCCCTAATATTAGAATTTTGTGTGCTTTATCTTTCTTTCTTGTTCAGTTCAACTAGAAATTTATCAATTGTATCAATCTTTTCAAAGAACTATCTTTTGATTTCATTGAAATAGTCTTTCATTGACTTTTGTTCTTAATTGAATTAAATCCTTCATCCTTTGGGCTTAAATTGCCCTTCTTTGCTAATTTCTTGAGGTAGATGCTTCTTAAGTCATAGTTTTTAAACTTTTCTTTTTTCCTTATGTAAGCATTTAAATATTTAATACTATGAATTTCTTTATAGAATGGTAATAAGCTAAATGTAACAAGTCAGGCATAAAAAGACAAATACCATATGATTTCACTTATATTTGGAATTGAAAGAACAAAATAAATAAACAAACAAAACAGAACCAGACTCATTAATATAAAGAACAAACTGATGTTTGCCAGATAGAAAGGTAGTTGAATGGATGGGTAAAAAAGGTGAAGGAACTAAGAAGTACAAATTGTTAGTTACAAAATAGGCACAGGAATGTAAAGTACAGCATATGGAATACAGTCTATAATAACTATATATGGTGTCAGATGGGTACTAGATTTATGGGGGTGATCCCTTCATACATTATATAAATGTCTAACCATTATGCTGTACACCTGAAACTAATATAAAATAATATTGAACTTCAAAAAAAATTTTTAACATTGCAGCTCACATTTTAGATGAGCTTGTAAACAAATTAGAATATTCCACAGTAGTTGACCAATTCTCTCTAATACCCATAACTATCATTTAAAATTCTATCATTAAAAAAATCTTTGAGCCCAGTTCAAAATAAAGTGAACAAGATGTACAAACAAAACAACCTCTAGATATTGCTTTAGCTGTATCTCATGAATTGAAATGTAACCCAGATACATGCCCTTGACTGTGAATCAAACCCAACACCAAGGGCCGATGTTCTAACCACTGAACAAAATGGCCAGGGAATGTATTGTATTTTTTTTTATTCAGTTCAAACATTTTCTAATTTCCTTTTGATCTTTATAAATGTGTTAATTTCCATCTAACATAATTACCCTTCTACCTAAAGAAACTGTAACATATCTTGTTGTGTGTGAATGCTGATAACAAATTCTCATGGCTTTTATTTGCCAAAGAAGCCTTCCTTTCCATTTTCTTTCTTTTCTTTTCTTTTCTTTTTTTTTCTTTTTTCTTAAGGCTATTTTCACTGGATATAGAGGCAATCTAGAGTAGCTTTTACTATTAAAGCTAGTTTAATCCTATTCCTGTCAATCTTTCTGGGCTCTCTACTAAAAAGCAGGGTATCTCCACACTGGCTAGTTGGAACTCTAATATTAGTGTTTCGGTTCTGTGTGAGCTCTGAGGATTGTCCAGTTAAAGTTCCCTGAGTACTTTGCCTCACCTCATATATAGCACAGTATTCAGCAACCAGTTCAGAAAAATCCCTGTGCAGATTTCTGGAGCTTTCTCTCTCTCTGCCTAGCTTCCTTTTCTCTGGTATTCTGCTCCAAAAATCCTACCCCCTCTGCCTGCCTGAACTCTGATCCTTGTCTTCACAAGGCAGTTCTGCCCATGAGATTCTCTTCTCTGCTCTTCAGTCTAGAAATAGTCTCAACACAGTAGGTTGGAAAATTATATTGTTGCTCTTTGCTGCAGGATCATAACCCTGTGAGGCTATTATTTAATGTCTGAAACAGTTTTAAAATATATTTTATCTGATTTCATTAGTGTTTATGCCAGGAGAGCATGTCTAGTCCCAGTTACTTCATTATAGCTGGAAGTATAGACGGAAATATTCCTTTGACTTCTGGGACCCTATTAAAGGTTATCCTGCCCTCAGAGCCTGCTCAAGAAACTAAGGGAAAGAGTTTAGGAAGGCCAAACACAAAGTGAGAGGCAGGCTGTCAAGGGCCCTGAGCATCCAGGCACTCCTCCCAGGACTAGGCTGAAGTAAGGGAGGTGCCTAAGACACAACATTTAGGGAGACACTAACTCAGGTTTATGTAGATGCTGCCCCTGTTCTTGCATGACACTGAGAATAAACGTCTCCTTATGCTTTACATCACCTGCCTACGCTAGTCCCAGCTCTGCCCTGAGCATGCTTGCTAAGTGTGCAAAGAATGCAATGCCTGGGGTTCTCTTTACTTGCATCATTTCTCAAGTCCAAGCTTGCAGTGAGCAACCTTAAGAAATGAAATAATTTCTTTTCTGAGCAAAAAGCAAACTTGTTTCCTCATGTTACAGAAGCCGTAAACAGCAGAACGACACCCACCATCACATCCAGCAGTCCGTCCCTCCTGTGACCACGGACTATGCCACAGCCCCTGCAGATCACAGGGAATTTTATGCTGAGTCCAACCCTGAGGGTGCCAGTGCCAATGCCCCCGGGCCTGCCATCCTGGCCTACACCTGTGTTGCTGCCACCAACCCTGACCAGGATGGTGCCAGCATGGACCCACCCAGGACCGCCCTTGGCAATGTTGCCATTGGAAGAGACAACCCCAAGGCCACCTATGCTGACCTTTACCCAGAAGCTGCCTGTACCTACCTACCTGGGATAGCCCCTACTAATCAGGAGGACCACAATACCAACCTTGACCAGGATGGTGCCAGCACCCACCTGCCTGGGGACGCCCTCTACAACCCCACCCCCAAGGCCACCAAAGCAGACCTTGACCCAGAAGCCGCCTGCACCTACCTGCCAGGGGTGGCCCTAGCCGAGGCCTATGACACCCTCTACTCCAACACTTCCAAAGCTCCTGTGATGGTTCGGCTCTGGTCCAAATATGACCTCGAGAAGAAGGTGGAACTCTGTGGCAGTAAGAAGAGATTCACCGACCTGCCCATCGGTCCCTATTTGCAAGAGGGTCCTGTGGGAATTGTCCAGTGCAAACTCACGAATAAGCTGCAGCCAGGCTCAGTCTCCACAATCAACCACCCATGCAAAACAGGCACCTGGTAGAAAACCTCTCCAACTTCAACATAGTCACCTGTGAACCCCTGGGAGCAGTTCCAGGCCAGTGACTTGTTTGAGAGCGGGAACATGAGGCAAGGGCAGGTGTCTCCCCAGCTCAGGCTCTGGCCAAGATCAACAGGCTGTGTGTGGCGAGGACATCAGCATCAACTACGTGGAAAAGCAGCAGCGGAGCACCCATGATGCCACCTTGAAGGTGAGCCAGCACATCATGGGGCTCCAGAGGGGCACCAACAAGTGTACCAGTCAGTCAGGCATGATGCCATGTGGCATGAGAAGGCATCCTTGTCTGCCTCCCCAAAAATCATATCCTTCCACCCATGGACCATGCAACTATTTGCCTGCAAAAGGCCACCGTTGAGGTAAGGAACATTCAAACCTATAAAGACTTTTGATGAGTTTATTTGCGCTAAACTGTCAGCAATTGCCAAAAGCAGAATCTCAATAGATTCAGATAATGCTCCAGAGAATGGCAGTTCTTCACCTTGTTGTATACCTTATAATAAAAGTGTTAGGGGCAGAAATAGAATATTGGGGACCAGCTACAATGATAACAGTAATCATGCTCTGATAACCATAATGGTCCTATTCTGATTAGAGAAAGCACATTCTAACCTGGATGAGAGCTGTACTCCCAGGTATACAGAAGCTAACATTGGAATGCAGTCCATCCTCCTGTCCTGAGGACTGCCTTCCATTAGGGATTTACAACCTGTGGCTCAAACAATCTAGTCCCTGAGGCTCTCACCATTTACAACCCCAACCCCAGGTGCCTATAATCCTGTCTCAGGGCTCAGAGGCTTCTGACCATGCCCTGTGAGAATTAACAGGTAATCTTTTCTGTCAAAGGGAGGAGTTTAGGCCACCTCCATTTTGGCTCCCTAACTTGCCACTCCCCTGGGGGTGGCCATTTTGAAATGGCAAAAGTCAACCCATCCCCTTTCCCTTTAAATTAGCCAATCACACAAGACTGGGAGCCTAAGTCTTCCAATCAAGAGTGAGGAACAGGGACTAGCCTGGTGGGCTGCTGTCAAGGGGGTCTGAGGCACGGGAAGGGGCTGGGACCACAATTCAGTGGGCCCCCTGCAGCTGCCACCAAAGCACAAAACACAGGTGCCTCATTCTTGTGCCAAACTCCACCTGGGCCCCCAGGCAACCTTTCTCCTCTTGTGCCTGTGGTCACAGGGACTGCTGGCTCCCCCAGGCCTGAGGTCCTGGTCCCTAGGAGCCCTCCACTGATTCCTGTGAAAATTAGGGAGCAGACAGGGCCTGGTTCATTGCCTTTCGGATGAAGATGGATAGGCCTGTATACAAGTCAGAGCCAGAGGGTGTGAGACTCACAGCCCACAGGAGTCATGGACCTGGGTCTCCCTGCAGTACCCATCCTAGACTCCTGAAAAGCAGGGCCCCTTTGCTCTCAAACCCATGGTTTAGTGACAACGTGCCTTCCCTGTGGTCATGGGCACCCAGGACCCCAAGGAGCTGTCCCTGGCCTGATGAGTCGGTACGACAGGCCTCTTCATGTGTTATATGTGCAATAAATGGGACAGATGCCCCCACAACCTGAGCAATAGGCCATAGGTGAGCCCCATCACCCATCCAGCTAGCCTGGGGAGGACCCTTGCCCTGCTCCTGGTCCCTGAGAACCAGCGAGCAGAGGGCACTGTTATGGGCATTCCCATATGTGTGCCCCTCAAGTGTCCCAGCTGGGGTCCCCTTAACCCTCATTAACCAGTCACTGTATCCCTCAGTGTTATCCTGTAACCTGTCAGGCCCCGAGGGAGTTTCTTTGTCATTGGCATGAAGACCTATGGGTGTCTCCTCTGCCGTAATGCCTCGTGAGTGTTCATGCCTTCCAGTATTGTAAAGTGTATCCAGTATGTAAATGAATGTTCCATACACCCTGAGTACAGCAGAGTTCTCTGCCCCCTTAATATCTCTATCCAGAGTATAATATACTATTAACCTTGATTTTTTATGAGGAGGTTCTAGGGGAGAAGGTAGGTACCTGGAGCCCAGAGGGAAAGGCTCATGGAGTGGGTGAGCACTGGAAGCCAAGATAAAGGTGAAGATGCTGAGCCTGAACCCAGACAACTATGTCCACAAACCCAAGTTGGACTTACAGAGAGTTCCAAGAAACTGTGATCCTACCTTACATCCTTTTGAGGTCCCTCGAGAATACTTAAGAGCTTTAAATGCTGCCAAACTGGAATGCACATTTGCAAAACCATTCCTTGCTTCTCTGGATGGTCACTGAGATGCAGTCAATTGTTTGGCAAAGTATCCAAGGAGTCTGGCTACTATCCTTTCTGGGGCATGTGATGAAGAGATCAGCATTTGGAACTTGACCAAACGAAACTGTATCCGTACAATATAGGCACATGAAGGTTTTGTATGAGGAATATGTACTCGTTTTTGTGGGGGTTCTTTTTTTACTGTTGGTGATGACAAAACGGTAATGCACTGGCAAATGGATGGACCAGGTTTTGGAGAAGAGGAAGAGCCATCACATACAATATTAGGAAACACAGTGTATACAGGAGCTGATCATCACTGGAAAGAAGGAAATTTTGCCACATGTGGACAGCAAGTAGACATTTGGGATAAACAGAAAGCCAGTTGTTTACGTTCAATGACCTGGGTATTTGAAAGTATGAGTAGTGTTAAATTTAACCCAATTGAGATATTTCTCTTGGAAAGTTTGCTTCTGACAGAAATATCCATCCATAGTGGCCTGGTGCATGAAATTTGTGCACAGGGGTTGGGGTCGGGGGAGAAGCAGGTCCCTCAGTTGGATCTGCACATTCTCCAATCTGAGACCCCTCAGTGGATAACAGGCAGTTGGACATCCCTCTCACAATCCAGAACTACTGGCTCCTAACCACCTGCCTGCCTGCCTGCCTGATTGCCCTTAACTGCTTCTGCCTGCCAACCTGATCATTCCTAACTGCTCCCCTGCTGGCTTGATTGCCCCTAACCACTTCTGCTCTGCCCCACATCCAGGACCCAACATTCCCTCCTCCAGCCAACCAAAGGCACCCGGGATCCAGGCTTCCCTCGCTCTGGTAAGCCATAGGCACTCAGACCGGCTGCAGCCGCAGGGAATGGTGGGCAGGTGGCTTTGCCTGGGAGGCAGCTACACGTACTGGCACCCAGGACCGCAGGGTGGGCAGCTTCTCCATTTCCCAGGCCACAGCCATCCACAGGTACTGGTGCCTGGAACTATGGGGTGGTTGGCTTCTCCATATACCAGGCCATAGCCAGCCACAGGTGCTGGCACCTGGACCGCAGGTGGATGGCTTCTCCATTTTCCCTCAGGTGCAGTGTGGGTGACTTCTCTGACTGCCTGTGGCCTTGGATCATGGGGCAGGTGGCTTCTTCATCTCCCGGGCAGCAGCCAGCCTCAGGTGCTGGCACCTGGTTTCTCCAACTCCCCCAGTACATGGGGCAGGGAGACGTGAGGCTTCTGTAGCTGGCTGTAGCCTGGGATCATGGGGCAGGTGGCTTCTTCATATCCTGGCCCTCAGCCAGCCTCAAGTGCTGGTGCCTGACTTCTTCGACTCCCATAAGCCTGGAGCAGCTGATGGGCCGGGGCCATACCATCTTTGTCAAATTAATTTGCGTACTCACTCGTGATTGGCTGGTGGGCGTTGTGGAAGTATACTCAATTTACATCTTTCTCTTTTATTAGTGTAGATAGGATAATATGCAAACTGGTCAGGACATTGTCACATAATGACCAATTAGCAGGCTGCACGTGAAGAAGAAGCAGATGAGCAGGGACTTGCACTGCCTGGGACATGATGCTCAGCAAACCCCCACCACCACCCAGGCCAGCCTTGATGGGACTTCAGGCTCATGTTCCCGCCCCCAGCAAGAGGCCTAGGGTGGTGAGGCTTGTGTTCCCGTCCCTGGCAATGGGCCCATGGTGTGAGGCTCACGTCCTGCCCCAAGCAAAGGGCAAATAATATTAAAATGTTTCCTCTAATTAATTCCCTTTTAATGTGCACAAGTTTTATGCAGTGGGCCACTAGTAGTACAAATGATATGAGGCAAGCTACTCCTCTAAAAACGATCATCTTAGATATGAGAACAAATACAATTTGTTGGAACCCTATGGAAGCCTTCATTTTTACCGCAGCAAATGAAGATTACAATTTATATACTTTTGATATGTGTGCACTGGACATTCCTGTGATGGTGCACATGGATCACATGTCTATGGTGCTGGATGTGGATTATTCTCTCCCTCTGGGAAAGAGTTTGTGTCCACCAATTTTGATAAATCTATGCGAAAATTTGCTGTGCATAAAAGTAGAAACAGGGAAGTATATCACACAAAGCTAATGCAACATGTTATTTGTGTAAAATGAACTTCTGATAGCAAGTACCTTATGTGAGGATCTGATGAAATGAACATTCCTCTGTGGAAAGCTAATGCTTCTGAAAAATTGGGTGTGCTTACATCACAAGAGAAAGCAGCCAAAGATTATAACCAGAAGTTGAAGAAGAAATTTCAACATCATCCTCATATAAAACGTATCACTCATCACCGCCATCTACCAAAACCAATCTGCAGCCAGATTCAAGAACAGCACATTATGAAAGAAGCTCGCAGAGGGAAGGAAGTGAATCATCTCAAGCATAGCAAGCCTGGATCTGTGCCCATTGTGTCAGAGAACAATTGTGAAATAATATTTGGTATTCTTGCCAATACTCGCTTTATAATTATCAATATTTGTTACATTTTGATTTGTAAACTCTACAAATAAAAATACAGTTAATCCTTGAACAACATGGATTAGAACTGGCTAGATCCACTTACATGCAGATTTTTTTCAATAAATATACAGTTATTTCTTTGTATTTCTGGGTTGTGCATCCATGCATTCAACCAACCTTAGATTAAAACAGTATTTTTTCCTTGAGGTTGGGACTCTGTGAATGTGTAGGGCCGACCCAAGTACAGTGGTGCCTCGCATAAAGAACGCCTCGCACAGCGAACGCTGCACACAACGAACTTCATTTCATGATTCATACAACGAACTTCGTTTCACACAACGAAGTCTCCCGAGCTTCCACGACCGCTTTGCCCGAGCTTCCACGATCGCTGCCGATGTATTGCATCCTTCCGCGCAGGCACTGCAGGCAGTCGTTAGTCACTGCGCTTAACTTAAGCACGTGTCGCGGCAATCGTTCTTCATTACAAATTAAATCACGCACGTATCACGGCGGTCGTCCTTTTAAGTTAAACTCAATATTTTTTTTATATCATGGCTTCTAAAAAAAGCAGGAAGGTGATTTCTGTTGAAATGAAACAGGAAATAATTAGAAGGAGTGAATGTGGGGTAAAACAGTGTGACCTCGTCAACGCGTTTCACATAATGAACTTTTTGCATAACAAACTTGCTCCTGGAACGAATTAAGTTCGTTGTGTGAGGCACCACTATAATATGTGGATTTTCGACTGCTCATGGGGTCAGCACCCCAAACCCCACATTGTTCCAGGGATCAGCTGTACTAGCTCTAGTATAACAGATGGTTCAGTTATATGTGTAGAGTTTTACCATTGCTCATTTTAGCCACTCTGAAAAATTATATGTCAAAGGTATTCTGGTTGATAAAACTTGATTCTTGATCTACTTTCTTATTTCCCAGAAGGATACAGAGTATTTGCAAACTAACTTATTTTTTTCTGTTAGAAATTTTCAAATATAATTTTATACTCAGATCTATTATAGACACTGTGCATTTAAATTTACATTTAAACCAAACATATTTCGTATTATCTTTAATATTACCTTGAATAATTATTGCAATGATTCTCACTTGGATTTTGCATAGCATATAAAAAAAATTGTGTCAGTACATTTTAAAATTGAATTTATTTTCTGTACTTTGTATTTGGCTTTTTTAAGCTTTCAAGATCAGCCTGCATTTATGTAACTTTCATAAATGATAATAATTATAATTATGGCCAAGTCAAAATGATAAAACATCCTTTTTTTCAGGGGGGAAAAAAGGGGGGGGAGTGACAGAAAACGTTTGTCAAGCATAAAAGACAGAGTAGACCTCCCACTCACTGTGCATTTGCTCCCAGACCCTGTGCCTGCATACCCTCCTGCAGGAGTAGATATTTGCCTTGTGGTCTGGCTCCTGAGTATCTTTTGTGTTCTGCTAGGATCCCTGGTTTTGGGGGGCTCACCTCATTTCTAACACCCCCCCAGTCCAAATGACGTGTAACCTGTAATGCTTATACCATGCCTGCTTTTCCATGCCAGTAATTCCCACTTTCACACATAATCTTTGTCCTTCTACCCAATGTAAACTGCTGGCTCGTGGGGAGAGGCAGAGCAGAGTTTTGTGGATGACAATGCTCTCCCATACTACCAGCATTATTGGAATAAACGTTTATATGATTCAACCCTGTCTCTGCTTAATTGGTTGAAGTAGTAGCAGGAAGCCTGGACCCCTTGGTTGTTTGTATACAAAAGGCGTGTTCAGGATAGTTAACAGTCAACAATTAACAAGATAACAATAACAATGAGGGATTCTGTGGTCTCCACCCTGGCACCCTGGCACATTGGTTGTGCTCTGAGAGGTCCAGAAAAAGGGAAGTGACAAGTTACCCTACATTCCTATCAGAGATGTCTCATTTCACTTTGGTCATACATTCTTGCTTCTCTATTTCTTTGGAATTGAAGAAACTGTTGCAAGATCACAGTAAGAGTCTCTTCCTTCTTCATCCTCCTCAAACAGTGGTTCTCCCTGTCTTGTGGGAGGGGCTCATCAATCAAAGGTCTTAAAAGATAGAAATTTCTCAAGGAGAAATTCTCAAGGAATTCTACATCCAGACTGCTTTCAAACTTAATACTGTAAAATCTACGCTGGATTTTACAACTACCTTCTAGAATTTTCAGCCTATAGCTACATATGAAAATTTCAGAATTGCCAATCCTCACAACAGCCACTAA